CTACTATAAATTTGATAGGACCCTTTTTTAAGGGTGTACTACTAACAATGGGTCAACGTTGGGCCAACATAATACTACCAACTTGATAAGACACATTCTTTAAGGTTGTATTACAAACATCGGGCCAACGCTGGGCCAACATACTACTACCAACTTGTAAATGCACTTTCTTTAAGGGTGTATTAAAAACATTGGTCCAACGTTGGGCCAACACCAGGATCCTTCCTTCCTTGGAAACTTAAGTGAATGGAAGTTGCTTACGTTGGACCAACATTGGGCCAACATAGGAATTTCGTCATGGTCGAGAAGGTTGACTTGGTAACATTGGTCCAACGTTGGCCCAACGTTGTTCCCCCAACGCCAACCACACAACCTTTATCACATGTTGGCCCAACATAGTCATGCTATCTGGGTATATGTAACATTAAATGTACATAATTTACTATTTCTTTTTCTTTCACTTTTCCATCTTCTTGTCCGATATTATTGCAAACAGGTCACATGTTTCCTGAATTCTGACTTCACTTAAAGTTGGTTCAACGTTGTCTATACAAAATATTGTATCGAAATAATGTCGTGACTCACCAACGTTGGCCTAACGTTGGGCCAATGTTGTACTCCCAACAAAATCTGTTAGCTTAGTGGTGACAAGCTAACAACATTGGCCCAACGTTGGGTCACCGTTGTGTCCCCAACCAACCTCTGAGTAAAATATTGTAATGTTGACACTGACCCAACAATTGGCCAACGTTGTAAAAGTGGTCCTACGTTGGGTCATTGTAGTGTCCTCACCCCAGCTTCTAAGTAAACTGCTGTTATGTTGACATTGACCCAACATTGGGCCAACGTTGTATGCCCAACAAACTACAACAAAATAAGGACGTGATTCACCAATGTTGGCCCAACGTTGGGCCAAAGTTGTACTCCCATCAAAATATGTCGACTTAGTGGTGACAAGCCAACAACAATGGCCCAACGTTGGGCCAACGTTGTGTCCCCAACCAACCTCGGCCTCCGAGTAAAATTGTAATGTTGACATTGGCCCGACATTGGGCCAACGTTGTGTCCCCAACCAACGTCGGCCTCTGCGTAAAATAGTGTAATGTTAACATTGGCCCAACATTGGGCCAACGTTGTAAACCCAACCCCAACCATCGGCCAACGGTCCAACCATTAGCCAACGTTGGGCCAACGTAGTCATGCTATCTGGGAAACTTGCATGTTAATAAAATGAAACATGAATTTAATGAAAAAAAATATAGATTCACATATTTTATCAATATTTGTCAGTAATTATCAATGTTGTCAAACTTTACAATTTTACAACCCTCGTACATGTAAATTGCTGTAATGTCCCATGTTATTAGATTATCTAAATTTAAGATTAAAAAAAAAAACAAACAATTTAAATAGATTCTTAAGAATAATCTGGGAAACAGTAGTAAATAAATAAGCTTTTAATAATTTTTTAACTATTTTCAAAACGAATAAAATTTCTTTCCAATCTCAAGTTTTGAGAAGACTGTTTGACAATGTTGCACTAGCCACGTCGAATCACCTGTAGCCGTATCATTTAGTCCGCACGCGCGACTGAAAGAGGAACATGAAGTTCTCTGAGCGTAGAGATCTACTAGGCGTGTAACCTGAACCAGTTCTTGTATATATAGTGGCGATGTTCCGTTTAAAGCTTTAAAAGTCTGTAGAAGCAGCTTGTACTGTATTTGATGTTCTACGGGGAGCCAATGTAGGTTAACTAACACAGGTGATATGGTCATGTTTTTTTTTGGCACGAGTAATTATCCTAGCGGCCGTATTTTGAATCCGTTGATTTTTTTTTAAGGAACTGGTGCATATATCGTATAGTAAGGCATTGCCATAATCTAGACAAGGGGTTACAAGTGAGTACACAAGGATCTAACAAGCACTCCTTTATATTAAATTTCGAATGCGTCCAATATTTCGTAGTTGATGGTAACATGACTTGGTATTTTTTCGAATTTGATGATCCATGTTCAGCACAGCAATTATATAATGAAATTGCAAAAATTCTTTAATAATCTTCTTTTCTGCACCTGGTTGTATGTAACCAAATGAATGTAAGCATGCTAAGTGTACAGTTATGATAAGTAATTGTTAAATTCGTGGCCTCCTGTTTAAAACACGAGTCAAATTCATGCAATTAATTAAAAGTTATTGCATGATGCTCAGGTGCACTATTAGGCCCATGGGCCTTTTGTTTCAAACATGTACACGTACGTGTGACATAACAAAAGATGTTATAGATCACATTTTGTCAAATCAAAGTGATGTTTTGGAAAATGGAAGATTTACGCCTGCTGGCTGCTACTGATGGAGTAATGGAAGAAGAATTTCTTTTCTTTCTATTATTGATTAAGACAGAAGAACGTTTGAAAAGAATTTTAATCTTGAAAGGTGAACGAAGGATGAGTGCAAATTACTTTTCATGTTTGAAAAATATGTTATAAGCATTGTATTCCATGCATTACACATACCCGATAAAGATATATGTCAGAACGGGATTATTTATTCTGGACTTGAAGGGCTTTGCATTTTGCTACAAAGACTTGCTTATCCTTAAAGACTTTCTGACATCGGCAAAATATTTGGAAGACCAGATTGTGTCCTTTATCATTAACGATATGTTTTCTATCATCATTCTCATCTCTAAGTCGACCTTAACCGCTATCAAATCAGAGCTTGGATGAATTATTTCATGCTGTTCAAATGACAGGTGTCCCTTTGTTCGGTATTTATTGATGGAATTGTTAGACAAAGAGCTAAGTTGACATAGTGCAAAAATCAGTCTAGTCATCAAAATAAACGAAACTTTCTTGCATTATACTCTAAGATTTGTATGTTGTAAAACTTTTTTATTTTTTATGAATATCTTATCTGGTTTCCTTTTTACAGCCGTTTCAATTTAGCATTGTTTTCTTAATCAATGCTGTCACGTCATTACGTTGACGTTATATGCTTCAACATCGTAACGTTGTCGTTTTGTATAATCATAAAACATGAACGTTTATGGAATAAAAATCACCAATATAAGCCATTCTTTAAACTTGTAGGAAAATATTTCTATGAATAGGTCAAGGTCAAAAGGTCAAGGTAATTGGTATCCAATGAAAGATCTTGCCACATAGAAAACTTATGTAGAGTATGGAAGCCCTAGCCTTTCATAAGTTATGGCCAAGGTTAAATTTTTTAGAAGTAGGTCAAACTCCAAGGTCAAAGTCAAAGGGTGAAAGTTCTTGTTATCAAATGAAACGTCTTGTCACAAGGATTAAGTATGTGACGTATGAAAACACTAGTCCCAACCTTTTAAAAGTTATGGTCAAGGTTTGCCTTTTAAAGTAGGTAAAACTCAAAGATCAAGGTCCAATGGTCAAAATGCTTGGTATCCAATGAAGGGTCCTCTCTCAAGGATAACATACATAAAGTAAGAAAGCCCTGTCCCTTACCGTTCCTAAGTTATGGGCAAGGTTAAAGTTGTTTCACAGGTACGGAAATCTACAAAGTGAAGATCAAAAGGTCAAGATTGTTGGTATCCAATGAAAGGACTTCCAAAAAGAATACATATGTGAAGTATATATATCCTGATATCGACTGTTCGAAAGATATTGCTAAAGTAAAAATTTGAAATTTTTATGTAAAAGTGGGTCAAACTCCAAGTCAAGGTCAAAAGGTTACATTTGGTGGAATTGTGTCTTAACACAAGGAATACACAAGTGACATATGAAAGTAATGTCTCCACTGGATAAAAAGTTAAGACCGCGGAACATTAACTGGCAAAATTAGAAATATACAGCTTACTTCATTTCCATCTGTTACAATCAAAACATCCAGTGATCGATAATGAAATGGGCGGTTACAATTCGACGCGGTCTTCGGGAAAACATCGGATTGAAATTGAAGATAAAAATTCATTTTCAAACCACCTGAGCTGTTTTCAAAGCAAAGAGTGAATATATGATCCAAAAATCAACTAATTTCAACTCTCAAACACATGTTGTTTGAAGTTCACATTAATATGAATTTTAGCTTATGATTTTAATAACGCGAAAGATCACAGAAAACAAAGATTATTTTTCAGAAGATATAGGATTCTACATGTAGAAGGGGGGGGGGGGGGGGAGTTAAAAATTGTCGAGTCAGGTCATGGCTTAACATGACAATATATTTTATTTCTAGAATTAATAGAGTGCACGAGTTTTATACTTATTTTCACTGAAAACTGTTGGACAATTTTATTTAAAAATCGTTCAGCCCCCCCCCCCCAAAAAAAAAAACATAGATTTACATATATTTACCAAACAGAAATGATATATTTGTCCCTTAAATATTAATTTATTTAAAACACTGGACCAAAAAAAAAATAAAATTAAACCGAACCAAAATTGAAATTATTTGTCTTCTTGGTCAATCAGTAATAATGTGCCTTCTAGGGTATAGCTGAGGTGGATTGAAAATGAATTTCGATCTGCAATTTCAATCCGATGTTTTCCCCACGTCCGCGTCGAATTGTAACCGCCCATTTCATTGTCTATCACTGAATGTTTTGATTGTAACAGATAGAAATGACGTAAGTTGTATATTTCTGGAAAATTATAAGCCTGTATTCTTTACTTCATTATCGGAAATACCAGATGTTGTACTTGCAGTCAGTTGGAAAGTACTTTTAAGTGGCGTCCATTCTCACTAATTGTCACTTGTGCTTATACGGAATCGAGACGAGTATTTACTTTGGTTTAGAGCCAACAAGTCTACAAGATTACTTATCGGGATTGCATTAATATAGACATGTCCTGCCAAAATACCCAGTGACAAAATTATTCGTGGATAACTGAAAAAATATAGACATATAAAATTTATAATTTTAACTTTGAATAGATTAAACAGAGACAAAATTGTTGTCATCAATATTTGCTCTGAAAGTTTCAATAAACACAAGAGTTTTATATTTTCGATGTGATATCATCTCAGATAAACTTAACATCATTATATTGTGTTGTTTGTCCATTCCTATTCTTTGTTTTCTTTCTTCCTTCTCCAATGCAAACTCTTTCTAGCCTAAGTTCCTCTCTCCTTTTGTCCATTTCTTCGCGCTTTACTTGTCTGTCATTGTCAGATCTAGATCGGATGTAGAAGAGAACAGCGCTGCTACTCCTTCCTGCCGCTGTTTTACATATAGAAGACCGGGGACTCTCGTGGTTATGATCCTAAAAATGCCAAGATATCTATATAACCTTTTAACAAAAATATCAAAATTAAATTTTTAAACACAGGTTTACGAAATCAATTTACCTTTTTCTGGTGACAATCTCTCCATAGCTCTCTTTCTCAAGTTGACAGCTTTAGCGTTTTCAAGGCATTTCTTTTTGTCCATTTCCTTTCGGATCTCCTCTTCCTCGTGCAATGTGCGTATATCCTCAAACAAAAGCTCTTTTTCAGTGTACTTTTCATCTATAAGTGACTTATATGAACGCAAGATTTATGCCAATATTCACCAATATAAGTTAAGCAACCCTATAATATTTGATATTATCCCGCTTCAGACAAATTTGTCGATTACTGATTGGATAAAAGCTAATCACATGACGCCCTGAAATTTTCCGTATTACCTCTCCGTTTCCATATTACCTCTCCGTCGAGGCATAATATGAAAATAGGGCACGCGATTCCGTTCGAAGCGTTGTTATTGTAAATAAAAATGGCGGCTAAGAAACGGTCAACGTAGGTAGTTTATAGTTAAATTTCTTGTTACCGTAACGATATTTTATGTTGATTGTCCGCGCCCCCCCCCCCCCCCCCTCATAATATGCACAAATATTTTTTTTTTTATATTGAAAAATGTCTTCAGCGGGATAAATTCGTTACACAGTTCTCCTCGCCCAATGCGGATTTCCATTTCACACCCCGTACGAGTCCGTATTAGGTCACTAACTGACTGTGTAACTAATAATGTTTTGACGATATTTCATGTGATATTGCTGTTATAAGACGTAAAAGATAATTAATTAAATTTCAGTGACTATTGCTAAAAGAGATATACGATTATTATATACACTTTGAAAATCCTTAAAAAAAATGAATAGATATTAAAAAACAGCCCTTTGATCGTATTCATAATATAAATGGAGTCGTAACCTTTAATCCACCCAACCACCACCACTTCCTTTATCTACATGATAAAAAAAGACAATTAAGACTTTACAGGTAACAAATTCTAAGCTGAAGAATAACGGTAATTGTCCCCGCCGCGATGTAAACAGGGTTACAGATACGCACCGCAATGAAAACCCGCAACGGCGTAACGCAGAAAGGATTAACACACCGCGGAGGGGACGCGGTCTTATACACAGATTGCGTTACCTGTGCTTAAATTCTCAGATCTAATTCTCACATGATTGCGTGTATATTTTAAAGATAAGGGGTTAAGAAAAAAAATTTTTCTTGTATTTTTAAAATTTTTTTCTGTAATTGTTTAATCAAAAGACTAATTGATCATCAATTAACATTCTGTCTAGTTTAACAAAAAAAAAGGTGTCCGTGTTTGAAGCATTTGTATATTGCACTTATTTAAATTTGATATTTTAGCATCGTTATACACACGCAAAGGTACTTAATGTACGTATAACAAAATTTATTTTCCAGAGATTGAAATTAAATAAATAACCCAACAGTTCAGTTTAAATAATAAATATAAAAGTATTGTAGTTATTTTTTGGTATGAAATAATGCTTCTCCAAACACGATATCTTAGTTATCAAATCAAAAACCTGCATTCTTACCTTCAAGAGATAAGTCCTTTCAGTTCGAAGTTCCGAATGACAATAAAGACTGAACGATAAGTGAACGCTGAAGGCAAAGTGAACGCAAAGTGAACGGTGAACACTTTGCTAACGGTGCTCGTGATGTGAGCACATGACTAACGATGAATTCAAAACTGTGAATGGGGAGAGAACTGAAAAGGCATGCTTAATGAACAGCGAATGTGCACTGAACGAACGGTGAACAAACGGTGAGCGAATAGAATCGGAAAAATGAGAAAGTAGAATTTTAAGGGACTGTATTATAATAATTCGGTAAGATTTCTGCTTCAGCTTTGTAATCTCAGATCCTTTGTCTGGAAACTAAAACTGCTAAATATTTAATTAAAGGGTAATAACTGACTGACAGCACTCTGAGACTGTTTTGTAACGTCTATAAATGCTGTACATTTGAGCCAAATGTGTTGAGAAAGGAGCGAGATATTGTAGTTTCATTAATTTTCGTTGGCGATAATTTTTGTGGATTTAATATAACAAACGTTTTTGAGGATACATAATTTCGTGGACGAAAGAATTGGCTATACAATGAATAACAAATTTCTTAATTCAATGAAAATTCGTGGATCTCCTTACCAAATAAAATCCTCGAAAATTGGTGCTCAACGAATATTAATGAAACCACAGCATGATGTTTCAAAGTTGGATTCTAAGTTTTAAAAAAAAATAATCTTAACCATCAGAATTAGTAGAATATCTTCTATTAGTAGGTCTTTCAACTGCAGATAGGGTTTGCTGTTATGAATTATAAGTCATTGTTGAAACCTGTTTAGAGCAGGTCCGAGGTATCTAATTGTTCATACGGAAGTCATTTTTAGCATTTCAAAAGTGTTTTTTTTCTGTCAGTGGAATCCAATGGTTTTGAAATAAGCACTTATGTTAAATTTATTTTCTTTATAGTTGCGGACAGCGTTAAATCACATATAAGTATTTTCTATAAATAAATATAAAAAATGAAATCTATCCCCCCCCCTCTTTCTTAATTTTAACCTGATTAGATTGTTTTACTTGGGCGTTCTTCTTCGTGTTAAGTAACACACATAAAGTAATTATTTGTTGCATGTACTTGTAGAAATATATATTTTTATAGAGAGAGGGCAAAAATGCAACACACGCATGACATTATACATTTATTGCATGATAGTTAGGGAAATATATGAAGACTTATTCAGCCAAGAAAAAAATCATATTCCCCGAGGGCTTCGCCCAAGCAGAATATATTTCTTGGCTGAATAAATCTTCATATTTCCCTCACTATCATGCAATGAATTGTTTATTATACCGAAACAAGCAAAACCTTTGAAATAAACATAAACTTTCAAATTCGGCACAACACTCAAATTCACTTCCATCGTTAACGTAAAGTTACTATATAACCCTTTGGTCAACACATTGTCATCAGTTTTGTAACGTAAACATGGCTATTATGACGTCTACTACTCTCGGGAGTTTTCGTTCAACGACTATGTACATGTAAGGAACCCTTTTGTGTATATAACAACACCAATGCTGAAACAACCTATATGTTATTCCTAAAAATTATAACTCATTAATCGGAAATAGATTAGTCATTTTCACACTTGAGCTACCTTTCCTTAAACATATCATTGTAGTCACTTTTAAATAATCAAAATTTTTAATGATTTAATAAATGTATGCATGAGTTATTAATCTTAAGCTTATTTAATAATTTCATTTACATATAAATATTTCAATGAAATGTTTTTACCATGTGAAATGACTTATTGTGCAGCCTAAAAAAATTAGTTGAAAGGCCTACTATTAGGACGAAAAACCTTAACTAGTCCAGACAAAATCTCGGTCGTACTATCAAGCTTAAGTTCGCCCTCCTTCTATATTCCGATATTTTATTTCGTAATAAATACTTTGACCAGTCTTTTGTCCCAAACTTGCATTACACGTGATGACTTATAATTTAGGTCTTTCCGTCTGAATTTTTATCTATCTTTAACACTTGCGTTTCCGTGCAAGATGACTTCGGTTGTGTAAAATTTTGACATGAACGGAAAATAAGACAATATCGAACCTAACATGAACAAATGAAAAGTAGAAGTTGTTTATGGTCAGTGCAAATCTGTGTAATTACAAAGGGGAAAAGTGGATACCTTTGCCCTTTCGCATGGTATTTATGCGAAAAACATGAGGAAAGTTCCACGTGCGAATGTCCTCATACAATATTTATGCGAAATTCATGCGATTTTCATGTGAGGATAATTTTGCATGATATGCATGCGATCTTAAATTTATTAGTTTTTCATGTTTAATGTTAAAAATTCTCATAAATATTTTAAGTATTTTAAAATACACCAAGAGAGAAAAAGCTCTGAACAAAGAAATTGAGCATTTCAATGTTTATTTAGGCGTTTCTGCCACAGTGGTCGATTCAAATTGCCAGTTCCTAATATCATATTGTTCGGATGTTCCTTTTTAATCGATTAACTTTAATGATGGCTGTGTTTTTTAAGGCAGTTTTTTAGTCTTTTTTTCAGTCTTCTGTCCTGGACAGCATTTCCTACAAGAAAATTTTGTTATAAAAATTACTGCCCATTCTAATATTCAAAGTGTTTAGGTCAAAGGGACCAATTCCTGTAAATTAGGCATTAGTTAGACATTATTTTAGTGCTTCCTTGAATTTGTTTTTTTTTTCAAAAGATATTTTGAAGTTAGAATATGGCATTGAATATTAAAAAAGGAATATTCAAATAACGGCCCTCTTTTTGCTATTTTCTAAGCGCCCGGGGCAGTTAATAGGGGTTATACGGTGTATGTTTTGAGCGAACCAGAAGACCCTATGTTCAGCACATCCATAACTGTATGATAGAGACACGTTAAGAGTTCTGACAAAATATAGTGTGTTTATTGACCTACTCTATAAATCGACTAGCTATTGTAATTGTGATATTCAAAATTGATGACAATGAATCTAATAGACCTCAAATTAATTCCAAAGTGGATTGGATCTTTTGTTGGACCTATGTCCAAAAATATTTTGTGTGATATATTTTAAAAGTCGTGTTTACAACTCTCTTCATATCATATGTGTCAGATAAAAACACACTCTTTAAATTTGTTACCCAAGATTTGGTGAAGCCTTCAAATAGATGTCGCTAATGCCTAGGTCACATTTCCCGGCCGTTAGCCGTAGACCGGTAGTAATCGGTAGTAATCCGTGGTGTTAACGATGCCCCAACATCGGTCCACATCGGCCCACTAGTCCTTAAAGTATCAGTCACATTATCCAGCGATGTGCATACGATGGGCAACCAATGCGTTTTATGAGAAAAATGGCGTGGTTGCTGGCCGGACTTACAAAGGTTCAGCGATGCATTGCTAAGCATAAAACGATGTACCAGGATAATCGGCCGATGTATATTACATCGCTCATACATTGGTGAACATCGTTCGTACATCGGTCGACTACGGGCCAATGTTTGGTCGAACATCGAACGATGATCGGTCGTTATCTGTTGAACACCACTCAACCCCCCGATGACCTCGGATTCAACGGATATTGGACGATGCTCGGCCATACATCGGCCGATCCTTGAAAGATGTATTAATGATGGGTTGCCGATGAGGAGCGATGTGAGGCATCGTTGGAGACATCGCTGAATTTTAACTACGAATTATTTCCTACCGATGACCCCACCGATTCGCAAAAAAGACTCAGTCACCGTCCGATCACTAGTGGTGCCCGGCCGGCAACCACGCCATTTTCATCAAAAAACGCATCGGTTTCTCATCGTTTACCCCATCGTTGGATAATGTGACTTATACTTAAGCATAAAAAGACCATTCGGTTCATCTGTTTACTAGTACCTGGCTGCGTTACGTAGAACCTGAAACGAACATGAGATGAGAACAAAATATGGTTAATCTTAAAATTTTCGTTGC